TCGAAAATCATCACAAAAGATTTTGCATTTTAGTTAAATATTTTATTAATTTACTTTAAATTATAGTTATGATTTCGAGTTAATTAGTTTTGTAATTGAGTTAATTAGTTTATAATTGAGTTAATTATTTTTCATTTCGTTAAGATTAAGAAGCTCGTTAATTAATTTATGAAAATTTGTCTTGTTGCAATTTTTAGTCAATTTCTTATCCTATTCTTAATCCTTTAAAGACCAAAATGGGCCTGTTCCCACGACCTTTTCCAATACATAATCCAGCCCATTTTTCTTTTACACCCACAATACATTCAACATACCCAATACCCAACAATACAATACACAATGTACAACCCCAACAAACCGACCCCACCCGCGTCTTCTTCCCCTTGAAACGCGAAGAAACCCAGAAATAACAAGAGCAGTACCAAACGACCCCTGCACATGCTTCTTCTTCACGCAAAAATTCCAGCAAATCCGCGAAGAAATCCAGTCGCCTCATCCCGTCCCCTCGTCCCCTTTTGTCAGAACTCACCATCCTTTCTACTGTTTGCCTTTGAAAAGAGGAAAATTTTCAAAAGATTTTGAATCTTTGCTCAACAGTTTCCCCCCTAATCGATCCCATCCTCTTCCTGTATATATTCTCCTTCTATTAACGTCATAAGGGGGATAGAGAGAAAAACACAGCCTAAAAAAAAACAGAGTTTGAGTCTCTCCTTTTTAAATTCGAAGTTGTTTTATATTTTCGGAGCTCGTCGAAATCGGCTCACCGGTGAAAGTTTTTTTCGTGGTCAAGCTCGTCGTCTCAGTTGGCTGCTCCGAGAAAGGTAAAATTCATTTCCAATCCTAATTTATTTCAGTTAATGTGTTTGTTTACGTTATCAAATTTAGTCATAATTTGTCTCTGTAGTAATGACTTTCTCTTTGTTCATTTGCTTTTGTTGTAGAGAAAAATATTTATAAATGTGTTCTGCCTATGCATTTTTATTTTTTTTTTATTTTTTGAAAATGATCTCTAAGTGCACTGTTTTGATGTTTATGTTAGAATTATATGTTTTGGAACTTTGTTTCAATACCTTAAGACTCATAATGTGGTTGTGCATTCAATATTTACTTTACCATTATTTTTCTTTGATATCACTTTAGTGTCATTTGTAATTCAATAAATTCTTATTTATTGCATGATCTGTCCTTTTAGTGAATAAGTAATTTATTTATTTTTGTATCTGAGGAGTGTAATAAAGATTCAATAACACTGGATTCTCTTTAAGGACTAGTCTATAATCTATATGTTCATGGTCTTGAATCTTAAATTGTGTCTTTTTGTGTATTCATATGCTTTTGTTAGGGTCTAAATCTATTCAAAGACCGGTTTAGCTAAGTAACCAATCTCTACAAAACTTTAGCTTTGCATTTTTGTCGATATCCCCATTCTGTTTTTTTTTTTTTTTTTTTTCTCTAAATAATCACATAAGGTTTTTTTTTTTTTTTCTTGTTTTATACGGCCTACAACTATAGCATAAGTAATTTCCTTTTGTTTCAATTCTGCATATGACTTTAAGTATGATATATTTGCTAATTTGTTAAAGTGAAATTATTGAAAGTGATAGGTATATCACGTGGTGAGCGTTAGTCATACTTCATATGCTTATATATTTTCTTTGGCGCTTGTAGTAATTTGTAGATATCTTGAGTTAAGCTATATCATGATTATTCCTAGTTGAAAGCGTAATTACATATGTAAATTGTTCAAAACTCTCCATTAATTCCTTTTCCCTTTATTTTGATACATGTGACATTCATCCGAGTCCATTTCAGACTCCATCCCCGCATTTCGTTGAATTGAATCCCTCTCGAGTCAGCCAAAGTGATGAACAGATCTTGAGAAGCTGACTTACAGGTTAAGGAAGTTGAAAACAGATGTTTGGAAAAAGCCAAATAGGTCGTGTATACACAAGTATACACTGATATACATGTCAAAAATGTGAGAATACAGGGCTGAGGCAAAATACAGGTGTTCGGAAGCAAGATATACATGAAAAGAGCTAATATATATGCTCATATACACTGATATACATCAGCTGTATACCAAAAACGGGTTTTGGGTAAACCCCAAAAAATTCAGCGAATTTGGCCCAAAAGGAGGCCCAAATTCAATTTCTCCCTTACCTTTTAATTATTTAATTGTGATTATTTATTGTTTGTTGTTTAATTCTAACTTTATAATTTTTAATTAACTTAATAAGACTCCCCAAAAGACGAGTCATTTTCGTTGTGTTGGTTTAATTCTAATACATTTCATGGTTTTGTGTTCATTTATTTTAATATATTGGTCAAAATTTTATATTTTCAATTAAGTTAAAACTTTGGTTCTTAAAAAGAGATGTTCTTTAATGCTTTTCATTTAATCACATTTTTATTCATTTCAAAATTGTCGTAAGTTAAAGTATTTTTCTCAAATAAACTAAAAAAAAAAAAAAAAAAAAAAAAAAGTTAATCAAACCCCTTTTCAATTAATTGAATATATATATATATATATATATATATATGCACTTACTTAGTCTTTTCTCGAAAAGGTTAGTCAATTAATTAAAAAATGATTTTCATGCTTTAAATGTGTTTAAATTATTGTTTCAAAAAAAAATAAAAAATGAATAAAATAAATTCTAATTAATCTAGTTTTATTAATATTCCAATCATTTGTATTTCGAGTCAAATGTTTCATTTTAGGTCCTTTTCTCTAAAAATAAAATGAAATAGAAATGCGTCATTTATTTAATCATTTTCTTAAAGTTAATCAATTATTGTAAGTTATTATTTTTTATGTTAAATCGTTATTTTCCTAAAAATGGTCAAATATATTTTAGTCAAGTCACAGGTCAATCGCGTGTTAGCGGACACTTCGAGTGCTTAAACCCTTCCCTAAGTGTAAATTGAACCCCGAACCCCCTTTGGTATTTTCAAATGATTTTTTCTGTTTAAATATTTGAAAATTATAAGTTTTCTTAATTTCTTTAAAAAATTAAGTGGCGACTCTTTCTAAGTATTCTTCTCCAATTGTTTTATACTTAGAACATTTCAAAAAAGTGATTTTTCTGAAGATAGGAAAATTACGACACAACAGTAATTAGGAACAAAAAAAGTATTATTGAACATTCCAAAATAGTATAGTCAAACTATTATTGGACGAATAGAGTATGTCCTTTGTTCTTCTTGATTTGTGTTGCATACTTTCGCACTAATTCATGCACCAAACAAGTTATGATGATATAATATATGATATATACTTCCTCCATTCAATTTAGGTGATGAGGGTTCAATAGTGGATATAAGATTTAAGAATAAAAAAAATATTTTCTGAACATGTCAAAAGCTGTAGATATTTATATAATTATATATTAGTCGATTAAAAATAAAATCTAAAATTAAACTATTAATACTAAATATAAATAAAATATTATTTATTTTGAGACAGATCGGATTAAATGTCACACATATATTTATTTACTAGTACTAAATATAAAAGTATATGTGTGCGCTATGTAAATTGAAAATTTGAAGAAAATTTCATATGCTAAAATAAACACATTTAAACTTATACATTACTTTTCCCATTTTTTTTATTTGTTATATTTGGATTTGATACATTTATTAAGAGGATAATGATTGACATGACTATTCTTCTACACTATCTTTATTTATTGATGTGTAGTAGGTATTAGATTTTGAAAAATAATATATAGAATAAGTAATTAATGCTAAAAATAAAGCAGGAAAAAAATTATTGTCTTTTTTTTTAATCTTGATATATTAAAAATGATAAATAAATAAAAAATTATCTTTAAAATAGTAGATAAATAAAAGTAAACGAATGGAGTAATTTGAAATTCACAACAAATGGAAAGTAAAGAATGCTTAACTATTGATATAATTGATTTTAAACTGTGATCCATAAAAGTAAAACTTTTTTTTCATTTGTGTGATATTCTCTAAAATTGGTTTTTCCAATTACTCTATTCGTTCATTTTTATTTGTAATTTTTGGACTTGGCACATATATTAAGAAAATAATATTTCATCTATTTCAATTTATGTGATATTTTTTATTTTTTTAGAGTCAAACAATATAGGTTTGACCGGGAATTCACACATGAAATCTTCAAAAAATTTGAAATGAAATTTATATATTTGTAAACAGGGGCGGAGCCACCTTGTACTTCAGTGAAAAATTATATTATTTATACATTGTTGAAATAATTTTTTATGTATATATAGTAGATGTTGAACCCCCTTCGGCTACTTCGTGTGTCTATTTCTACAGATTTTGAACCCCTTTATTAAAAATTCTGACTCCGCCACCGTTTGTAAACTACATAAAAAGTACTATAAATTACAATAATTACTCATCATATAGTGATAAAAGCATGAGCTTTATGGCAATTCTTACGTTGATATGTAAATGACAAATGATACTTTAATTTAGTTTTTTCATTAAATAATAATGACTTTCTATAATAGAAAAAGATAGAGAATCTTGTTGAAACATTGATAAGTTAAATTTAAGAATAAATTACATCAAGTGGGAATTGAGTAGCGACAATATGATCTGATATTCTATGGGCAAATTACAGAAATCACATACTTTTAAGGTAAAATTATAATCTATCCCTTAAAAGTTTATAATTACATAAATCCTTCAAACGGATACAATAATATAAGTGTTAATACATTAATCTGATGCACAAGATACATTAATCGTTAAGTAAGATACATTACATTTTATACATGATACACTAATCTGATGCGCGAAAATGAGGGATTTTGGAGATTTATAAAACTTATAGGGGATAATGTTAATAAATAAACTAAAATGTGAGATTTCTGTAATTTTTCCATATTCTATTGAGTCCTATTAGGCTAGGCGCATTAAACAGTTTATTATCGGCCCATAAAAAGGAAACCCAAAACTAAATACATCAATATAGACCCATTATTGCATCTGGGCCTTTATACATTCGACCCAAACAAAGCCTTGACAACTCCAACAAAATCATGTTTGTATCCATATTCTGCATTGAAATGTTTTGCTGGAATGATCTTTGTGTACACATAGAAGGCCACACAACCAATAGTTGGCCCAACCCAAAAGATCCAATGTCCATCCCAAAGGTGACCTCCTCTAATAATAGCTGGCCCCAAACACCTCGCCGGATTAATCCCCGCCCCGCCATAACCCTTTTTCCCGGTGACCGTGGTCGAGATAAACACTAGAAGGCCTAATACTACACCAACAATGGACAAGACAGTGACATGGCCAAGAGCCTTAGCTTGTCGATGATCATAAGCCATCCAAATTGAAGCAAAGAGAAAAACAAATGTACAAAATATCTCTAGCCACAAGGCTTGGGCCGTCTCTAGGCCCAAAGTAATGGGCCCATTTGGGCCCGGTGTAATTATTGTGACAGTGCAACCACCAAGTGAGAATGTGTCTTCAATTGATGAACTAACCACTGCCCTAAGAGCTAGTGCACCTAAAATTGCACCAATACATTGTGCCATTATGTAAATTATGGCTCTTGACATGGATATAATTCCGACGAGCGCGGCCGAGAAGGAGATAACCGGGTTGATATGGCCTCCGGACACCGGAACAACCGCGAGGAGTAGGATTGTGATCACAACTGCTATGAGAATTGACATGATCAAATTTGGCATTTTCGTGTCACTTTCAAAAGTGGAAATCACTATAGTATCCAACATGAAAACAAGAACCGCTGTGCCTAGGAGTTCTCCCATCGACGCTCGCCATACCTATATAACAAAAAAAAATATATGCACTGATAATACTCGATTTATTTATTCTGAAGGCAATTAGTGATAAAATTAAAATATATTACTAACATCCAAACAAAAGAAGTCAGAAACGCCCAGCCTTTCAGAGAATGAGAGAAAATTTGGCTTCTTTCCCTCCTCGTCAATAGTATTCCTACTAATAGGAGTGTACAATAATTAATTAGGAAAAATGAAAGCTTGATTCTTTTTTAGATTGTCACTCAACTTATTCTTATTATCTCAGAAAGTCACCATTTCAAAACATCTCAACAAAGAAATTGACTTTCTGAGATAATAAATATTGGTTAAGTGACCATCTGACGAAATCAACGAGACAAATTAAAGGAAAATATCACAATAAATCAAAGAAAAAATTAATTTGACATACTTTCTTGGTGTAGAACTAGAGCAAGTTTGAACTCTATTAGTCCCACCAGAAAGCTGGTTTTCCTCATCACCAAAAACAACAATATTCTTGGAAGCCATATGTGGGAGAAAACTAAGATAGTTGATCCTAGTATTTAGCTTAAGGTTTAAATTATGTGCATGGAAATGGGTTATAAATACTACTCTCCAACCTCCACTGCCTAACCTATCTTTTATTGTTATTATTATTAATTATTAGAATATAAGAAAGTTATGTTTACGTGTATATATCAAGCAAAAGAGATCTCTTGGCCAATTTTAATGGGGGAGTCAATTTCTTATTAATTATTTTTAAAAAAATATATTTGTTATAAAATATGGTAGTTCTACTACTAAATGTAAGGATTTGACATATCATTAAAATAGTAGGCATTTTTGTGATTAGGAAATAATTTAAGACTAGTAAGCTCTACTTTTTCATCCTCTTTATTATTTACGAGTCACCAAAATATATAAAGTATTAATGAAAGGTATCTATGCTACTTAAATCTTAAGAAATATGCTACTTTTTGGATCATTTTAGTTATCGTGCTTTTAAAAAAATATTTGGTTCAAAATAATTATTAATTTAAGAAATTAAGAGATGATTAACTTTTTATATTTACTTAATAAATATGAAAAAGGATTAATGTGATGAAAATAAAAGAGTAGCATTAAATCAAAATTAAAGAGCAAATAAGAATAATTTAATTAAAGTATTTTTTTAGTTAATGTTTTGAAAAGGAGCGTGTAATGAAATATATATCAAGTAAAATACATCGGAGGAAATATTTAATTTTCTAAATCAAAAAGTATTTTTCTCCCATCCACTTTTATGTAAAATCACTATTTTAGTTTTGGGAGTTAAATAATTTTTCAATTTTCTTTGACTAAATAATTTTCTCAAACTCTTTTTAAATACTTTAAATTATTATCATGTTGAGTTATTTTATTTTTAAATGTATAATTTTTATTTTAAGAAATTTGTTTGGGGTGGGGGGTGGGGGGTGGGGGGTATATGCCTTAACTCATAGTAAAAATTGAGTGATTTATCCTTAGTATATTGAATCCCTTCATATAAATTAGGGAATTTTTTTCTCTCTTTTAGCATGATTTAATTGTGGAGTAGTAAATGAAAGTCCAAAAAACATATTACATATATATGTTTTTTTTAATGTCAAATATTTTGAAACTAACTAATTCAGTAATATGAAAAGACGATTGATGTTGAGGAATAGAGGAACGATTTTTTTAGTAGATACAACAAATATTAAAATAGGTAAATTAAAGAACACGAACGATTGGGAAATATTGTTATGCATTTAGAAAAATCACAAGGGAAATTAAAGATCCAATAATGGAGATGGAAGGTCAAATAACTTAACAAAGTGTGTCATCAATTTTTACCTTATTCGTAAATCATATGGAAGTATCAAATGTGAGACTTGGGATTAGCATTGTTGGCTCCATGATTTGTGGTATAACTAATAAATGAAGTCATGCTCATTCAAGTCTATACGTTATAATATCTCAAAATTATATCGATAAACATCTTATTTTTGCTTTGCACTCAGACATGCTTAGTATTTTAATGGTCATGTGCTATTCAAAATTCATGAACATTTATAAAAGTAACTCTTAACTCTCAATCGAAGCAATCTCACTTTTATATTTATATAGGTGAAATTTTTTTAATGTCTTTGTCAATTTGAGACGCTTGTTCCTTAAACTGAACCTCATTAACGGAACTCCCTAATCTATGACAATCATCAATACTATATCTCTTAATCTAATACTAAAACATTCATGTATCAATAACTTGTTATTACCCTTTGAACGCATAACTATTTATTTCAAAGTATTGGGTAGGGTTGACGTTATTGGACATTGGTGGACCTAATTAAGGAGTTCTAACATAATCAAACTTAAAGTTGTATTCAACAATTTCTTTATACGAGGTTTAGTAAATAGATTCATTACATTTTTTTGACTCCATTGGTATGATAAAAGTTATTCCATCTTAAATTAACTTTCTCACGCAGTCATATCAGAAACTTATACCTTTTGACTCCTCATTAATTATATAATATATTTATGCTCGAATTAGAGTGGCTTGTTGTTGGTCTAAAAATAAGAATCAATCACAAACAACCTATTAATTTACCTGGATTACTAACAAATCTTATCTCTGGCCAAGATGTAATCATTCCTAAACATTTCCCCAATGTTAACCACCTAGTTTCTCAAGTTTAAGAAATAATTTACAAGATTGAGGAGTCGAATTCTTACCTGTACATGTGAATTTTGTGGGGAAAAAATGCAGGTTGCCCAAAATTACCCCTCTTTATTTTTCAAGAACGCAATTGCAGAAAATAGGAATTTTGACCAATTTTCTGCATTAAATCTCGATTCCCTCGCTATAACGACGTCTGCCTCGCTATAACGATAACTTACCTTGATATAGCGGTTTGAGCGCAGCTAAAGCGGGATGCCGGATTCTATAGAGAATCGACGAAAGTTCAGCAACCTCAACTTGGAAAAAGGGCCCTTTTTACAATACAACACTTTCCCTTGACATCCTGACTCATGTCATTCATGTCAAGGTTGATTTTGGAAGTTTCTACAAATTCGAATTCAATTTTAAAAGGCCTTATGAATTCCTTAATGTCTTGCTATAAGGATACATCAATCAAATCTCAACTCAAGACCCCACCCTTTCCCGGATGGCCATAGACCTCACCTAGCCCAAATTTCATTGAAGACTTGTCTAGACAAAAAATTTCAAGTTACTATCCGAAAATTTTTCTAGCCCAAATTTCTTCCGTATGAACCTACTCATAACAACTAGATCAAATCGTTACAGCTTGTTCTTGCAATAATTGGAATATGCTTTGACCAGTCCATGAGTCTGTCTTGCTCTCTTTTTAGTATTAGTTATTGTTTCTTGTCAAATGCTCCATTTGTCAAGTTATAGTGTATCACAATAAAATAAATCAGTGACCGACAAGGGTCGTGGTGAGTACTCTTTCATCCTTAACCAAGAGGTTTCAGGTTTGAATTCCCTTGGGTACGTCGGACTCAAATGTGTGTACCGAACACCTGGTGATCAGAAACCAAAAAAATAAATCATAGTGACATCTAGTACTTTAAATTGAGTAATTGATGAAAAATATCACAATGAATGTTTGATTGATAATATGAAAAACGAAATAGAATAGAAGGCTTGAAACACAGATGAAACGCTTTCATAAAAATGATATTTGCTCTCTCTCCTCTTCGAAAGTGCTATAGGATTGCACACAAATATTTTTAGTGGATATGATAAGCCTATTAATTTATGCACTAAACAAACAATGAAGAAATTCCATTGAAAAAGCAAGAACTTGAACTTGATCTTTTTGGAGAACAAAGAAATTCTTTGTAGAAGTTATAAGGAAAGATACTCTATTAAAATTACGTTGGAATTTGCAATAGTTCGATTTTAAATAAAACTTGTGGTAACCAAAGAATGAAAGAACACATTCTTTCATTTAAAAGACATCAACTAAAGAATGAAAGGACACACTCTTTCATTTAAAAGACATTTTCATTTAAAATACTTAAATTATTAATTTAATCTAAACAAAATTTCAAACATATATACAACAGTGAAATTTGTCATTAATGAGATGTACTACTAATTAATTTTGATGAACAAAATTCTCTTGATCATATTATTAACCTCGAGAATTCGTTTACCTTAGTTTTGATATCAAAATGCATGTCCAACAGAAACGGGTCCATCTTTAAATGTGAGGGTGTGCATACACCTGTTAACTTCATTAAAAATTGTGTATATATATGTATATATAGCTTAAGGTATGACATATATTTCATTAAACACTCTAAAAACAGTAGAACTAAATGGGTGCACTAGTTTAAACTTTGTGCCCCTCCTCAATTTGAGGTGATGGACTGGGTTCCCCCATTTTTCATCGGAGAACCTTACAAATATTGGATAAAATAAGGAGTTGATAGTTTCGAACTTACAACCTAAGTTCAAAATCAACACTTCACACAGTAACTTTATGTACTAATTAAAGTCATTTAATTCAAATTTATATGTTAATACATTAGTTTACTATTCTATGGTTAACAAAAATATCACACGAATCAATATTAAGATTTAAGTGACATGCTTTAATTAAATAACATGCATTAGCCGTTGATGCACCCATCGTCTCTGAATCCTTGATTAGCTTCTGATATGTAAATGACAAATGATACTATTAATTTGTACAATTTTGAAAGAGAGAGAAACTTGTTGAAACATTGATAAGCTTAAGCTTAAATTACATCAAGTGGGTACTAGGTAGGGACAATATGATATGATGTTCTATTTACTTATTATTCAAGTTCTTTTACACATTAGTTTATTATTGGCCCATAAAGGAAACTCATAGGCCCATTGTTGCGTGTGGGCCTTTATACATTTGACAAAGCCTTAACAACTCCAACAAAATCATGCTTGAATCCATATTCTGCAAGAAAATGCTTTGGTGGAATGATTTTTGTGTACACATAGAAGGCTACACAACCAATAGTTGGTCCAACCCAAAAGATCCAATGTCCATCCCAAAGGTGACCTCCTCTAATAAGGGCGGGCCCCAAACACCTCGCCGGGTTTATCCCTGCCCCGGCGTAGCCTTTTTTGGCGGTGACCGTAGTTGAGATAAACACTAGAAGGCCTAACACTACACCAACAATGGACAACACAGTGACGTGTCCAAGAGCTTTAGCTTGTCGATGGTCATAAGCCATCCAAATTGAAGCAAAGAGAAAAACAAATGTACAAAATATCTCTAGCCATAACGCTTGGGCCGTTTCTAGGCCCACAGTAACGGGCCCATTTGGGCCCGGTGCAATTATTGTGACAGTACAACCACCAAGTGAGAAAGTGTCTTCAATTGATGAACTAACCACTGCTCTGAGAGCTAGTGCACCTAAAACAGCACCAAGACATTGAGCCACAATGTAAATTATGGCTCTTGACATGGATATAATTCCGACGAGCGCAGCCGAGAAAGAGATAACCGGATTGATATGGCCTCCGGACACCGGAACAACAGCCAGGAGT